ATTTACAATAGCTCCATTTGCAGGTAATTGTTGGTTGCCCATAGGTTTAGGATCAAAAGCCACAAACTGTTTTGGAAGTTGATAATGATACGCATTTAAGAGGGCCATTTTAGGAGTGCATTGAATTAACAAACTGCACCGAATGAACAGTAAGAATAACCTTCAGTTGAACAATGCATGCAAGACTACTTGGGGGCCTATTCATAGAATACAAAGTTTACAGCACAGAAGGAGGCCATTCAGCCCATCTTCCCTATGCCGGTGCTAGCCCCTGAACTGCAACTGTCCAGACTCAGAATGTTAGAACAGGTGATTTAGACGTCAAAGCGGAAAAAATCCACCCAAGTCCTGATTTAAACAATAAATAATCCTAGCATTTGATATAGCTCCTTTCAAGTCAAAAGTCTCAAAACGCTTCATAGGATTAACTGCTTTGTGTAGTGACTATATTTTGTAGGTAAGCATGACAGCCAATTTACACACAACAATGTCCCACAAACAGCAATGAAGTGGACAGCCAAGTTTTTATGGGGCATTGTTGACCAGGACGCCAGGAGAAATGTTCTCTGTTCGAGTAGTGTTGTGTGATCTTTAAGGTCCACCAAAAGAGGCAGATTGGACTTGGGTTTAATGTCAATACAACAACTGGAATTCATATAGTGTCCTTCACATGGGTAGCATCTCATAGAAACAGGAGTTTCAGGCTCCAATCCTGGTCTGTCATTATATAAGATCATGGCTGATCTGTATATCTACTCCAATTAACCAGCCTTGCCCCATATGCCTTGATACCCTGACCCAACAAATATCTATCCACCTCAGTCTTGAAAATGGAATGGATCCAGCATCCATATCCTTTTGGGGGAGAGAGTTCCAGATTTAATAACAATAATAATAATCCTTGCATTTGATATAGCGCTTTTCATGTCTTCTAGACGTCTCAAAGCGCTTCACAGAGTATGCTGTTAAGTGAATTGACCGTATATTTGTCGTCGAAATGCAGCAGCCAATTGCGCACAGCAGTGTCCCACAAACAGTCATGGATTGAAAATGACCAATTTATTATTGTTTTGTTTTGGAGGGATTATTATGAGGCGTGTGGAGTAAGGAAACTTGCCCAAGGTTTCGCCCTGCCTGGAATTGATCCCAGGTGTCTCGCTTGCAAGGCTAGTGCTCTAACCACTGAGCTACAGGACTCCACTACTCCTTGGGTGAAAAACTGCCTCTAGATTTCACTCCTAAATGGCGAGCTCTAATTTTAAGATTATGCGCCTTGTTCTGGATTCCCCCACCTGAGGAAATAGTTTCTCTGTATCTACCATATCAAATGCATTTATTATTTTAAAAACCTCAATCAGATCACTCTTCAACCTTCTCAACTCAAAGGAACAGAGACCAGATTTATGCAACCTATCCTCATAATTTAACCCTTTAAACCCTGGTATAATTCTGGTGAATCTGCGCTGCACCCACTCCAGAACCAATATATCCTTCCTGAGGTGCAGTGCCCAAAACTGAATGCAGTACTCCAGATGGGGTCTGACCAAGGCTCTACACAGTTGAAGCATCATTTCCTCTCCTTTATATTCCAGCCGTCTCGGAGCGCTTAACAGCAGTGTGGCTTGATGCTGAGCCAGAAAGAGAGGGGAGGTGACCAAAGGCATGGACAAAAAGGAAAGTCTGCAGGAGTGATTTGCAGACAGGCAATGAGGAGGTATGACGGAGGGATTGAGGCAAGGAATTCCAGAGATTTAGGACATAGCGGTTAAGAGCACAGCCGGCAATTGTGGATGTGGATGTCTCATCTGAAGGAAGGCACTTCAAAATGCTATTCATTTATTTTTTCTAAAGTGTAGTGCTATACTGCCATATAATGTCAGATCAGTCAGATGTAGAATGTAGGCCACATGTAATGCTAGATCAAACGGCTCACATTTCTGCTCTGTAAAAGTGGCATAAGAAAACTTTGTGGACATCCTGTACATTATTGAGAAGAGAACAGAAAATTTGTACACTGTATTTCATTGGGATCAGAAGTCCTGCTAATTTGCCTCAGAACCACAAGGTTGCACAATCTTAGAGACTGTGGTGCAACTGTGCAACGGACCCCTGGAAAGCTTGCACAAATTTGTTTGTTTTGTGTCTACTTCCCTGCGAGTTCTGATGCTGGATTAACCCCGACAGTTGGTGATACATGGAATCATACTTGTCAACTGTGGCACAGTAAGGCATGGCTATGTGCAAATTCAGGAATAACCACAGCAACTGCATAAAGAACAGATGTTCTCCTTCATGAAAAGCAACACAGTATATAAAGTGGAAGTTATTACTGTTGTTAACTGATCGGTCATTTCACAAGCTGCTGTATCCGTTTCATTGATGCATTGCATCAATATATTACAAATTATAAGCATTTCAGGTTAGCATTTCTAAATTTTTTGGTTAAGAAATTATTTAATGGTTTGGCAAGACACTTGTTCTGAAAGACAAGGCAGCATTATTTGGATCTGAATACTCCCTAAAAACAAAGCTATTCTCCTCTGTTCGCATTCAAGATTTTAAATCCCACAACCCATTAAAAGTATCTTTGTGTGAAGCAGCCCAGTAATAGTAAACTTCTAGCCAAAAATCCATGGCTTGTAGTCCCAGGATTTGTCTGTCTCAATCCTGCCAACCTGCTAGATGGCTTTTGTTAATTCTGGATGGACTGCTGGACAGAGCTCATTATGAAAGAAAATAAAGTCACATATTTATCTTTCTCACTACCTTGTGCATGAACACAATATTTGCACTTGAAATACAGCCCCTGATGTCAAACTGTAGAGCAGTATTACATTGCTCATGGAGAAACCCAAAGCTAAGTTAACATATTTAGCAGGAGACCAGCAGGTGCCTGCACACTGGTGAGCAGTGCACACTCTCCTGCACCCCCAGATGCATGAAGTTGTGCAGCTGTAACTCATCAAAGGATGTTCTGGAGACCAGATGGAGGAATATATATGGTGGTGTCTGGTCTACAACAGTCTGTCCTCCCATTAGAAGAAAAATAATCTATTATTAAAAGTTTAAGAAAAGGTCTAATTTTAAAAGCCAACTAATGATATCAGTAATGTAAACTAGAATTCAGAATGTCTAATTTCAACAATACTGCCGATCCTGAAGGAATTACTGTGTTATTCCATTCTCATTTGAGCTTAAAGTACATGATTGCAGTGTTACATCCTTCATGAAACTGAGCATACGAAAACAACATGGTAACCTACTGTTAGGTTTATTGTGTAAGGGTGAGTCCATGGATAACTTCTGACTTCAGGTTTGGAGAATTCAAAGTTCACATTCCCATAATCCGAAATCCAATTGATTTTGTTCTAACCGGTGATTAGGTATAAATTCAAAGCTTGAATCTCAACACATTTAAAGTGGATGAAAATTCAAGTCAATCGAAATCTCTGATTTTAGCTCATTTCAGTTTCAGACGTGCCTGGTCTGTCCAAAAAGAATCTATCTTTCTGTGGAATATTGGATGAGGGTGAAATATTTGCCAGAAATGTTAGCCATTTATTAATCCTCTGGAGCAATGATTGCCAACCCAGGGCCACTTTTGTCCCGGGAGAGGGTGTCAAGAGGTGGCCTGCCGAAACCACACATCAGTCCTGGCAAATCTATGCCAAACCAATGCCTTGTTTCCAGGAGATACCTAGCTGCAATACCCATGGCGTGGCCATAAATAAAGAAAATTTCAATAATGAAAAAGGAATTTGGATGGCTGACCATAAAGGTTGATGACCACTATGATTGTTTTGTTTGGTGGACCTGACATTTATTTCCATTATGAAAGGTGTTGGTGGCCAGGATTGGTTGCTAAGCTAGGTATTATTTTTATTTATTTAGCTTAGACAGTGATGGTTTAGTGTCTTGGATTCGTTTTTGTGGTCGCTTATAGGAATAAAAGTTTGGATTTGCTTAGACGTTGCCTTCACAGACCCCTAAATTAGGTCATAATATAATGTGTCAAAAGCAGAAGCACAATGATTAAACAAGTTGGATAGTACACACATCATTAGCAGAAAGGAAGCTGCTCTACAAGTTTTAGGTGGCTGTATTTATTAATAAACAAAGTATATATTCCTGCCATTCTTTAAATACTGTGATGTGGAGGAACACTAATGGTAGTGTATGAATTAAGAACAAAGCAAAATGTTCATGCAATGTAGTTTGTTGAAGCTGAAGCATCTCATGAAGAGGTTGCAGGTACACATGACAATTGTTTTGGATAGACTATTTGCATAGCAACATAAAGTTTACCTTTTTCTAAACTTTTTCTAAACTAAAGTTTAACACAGTCTGCTGTTAATCTAATGTTCACATGGCAATAAACAAGTTATAAAGCTGACTGTGTTTGAATTTATTGGATCCCTTGTTTTTCCTCTACACAAGTTGGTAAATATCGTCAAATAAATGTGTGTCAATGCCTTGAAACATCCTTCCGATGTCATTTTATTTTAGATAAATAAAATATCTAAAATAAAATGCTATATAATGCAATGTGTTGTGTGTGAGAATAAAATGATATCAAGCAGATCTAAAGTATTTTGAAGAGCAAAGACCTTACTTCATCTGGAAAGAGACTCCGTCGGATCTTGGCAAAATGTAATAGGGAATTCAACCCCAACCTCACCAGCAATAGTCCCATAGTAAAGCTGTGGCATTCATTAGTTACTGTTCTGTTAGAACTTTAATGCAACTCTGGCAGTGCACTACTGCACTCCTGTCCCAGTGTCTTGGGACGTCCTCCCGACGTGAAAGGCGCTGTACAAATGTAATCTTGTTGGTGTACTTGATCAGAAAGGGTCCGTGATTTACAAGTTTAGATGTCAGAGCACTGGTATTAATCAGATTATGTGTTTTGTTATTGATAACTGTGTTGTGAAGCCAGCAGCTCTAGAGGTACCAATATCAGCCAGAGCCCTACATTAGTAACTGGCGCTGAGGGAACTCACCAATGCTGGAATTCAGGTCACCGTTTTCCGACTCTGCATTGTGCTGGTTACTGTTGCCATGGAAGCTGTTCATGGCCTCCAGTTTGATCTTTTTCGCCTTCATGGCTTCTGCTATGGCCGCATTAGTAGCCGCTGCTGCCGCTGCTGCCGCTGCTGCTGTGAGTCCTATCCCAGGTAACAAGATAAAAGAGAGACAGAAAGAGAGACCGATAAATACTCTGTACTTTCAGCAGACTCTTCGTTCAATTGACCTGTGAAGTCTGTGTTATAAATGAACGGTGAAGTCATTTAAATTTCATTCAATTTACAACTTCCTTAAATGTCATAGTTTGACAGCTTTATTTTAAAAGAACATTCCGTAATGTATGACTTTCACTGTGGAATAAATACTGGTAAAGCAAATAGCTTTCTTCTGATTTCCAACCTGATTTGATGTAGAGATCATTTCACTGTATGCCTACTGCCCAGAACATAATTTATACTCTTAAAAGATAATGCCAGCAAAGAATTTAAAAAGAAAATCATATTTACAACCACATTTTGGTTTTCACAAGTTAATGACTGAAATGTCAGGGGTGAGAAATTCCATGAATATTTGTTGCAGCTTTAGAATGGGCTTAACATACGCTGATCGCTAAAATGGTGATTATTTATTTTAAATAGTTAATGAAAAAATTGCTACTTCTAGCAAACACTATTACACCCCGATGGGTGTTTATGTGTGTTTGGCACTATTCAAAGAGTTTTTCCTGGTGTCCACGCCAACAATCCCCCAAATAAAATTAGACCCTCACTTCATGGCTGTTTGTGGGATATTGCAGTGGGCAAATCAGCAGCCACCTTTCCCTATAAGATACAGTCAATACAGCTCTCCCAGCACTGCACTGGAATGTCAGCCAAAATGATGAACTCAAAGGCCCCGGCATGGGACCAACGTATTACATCTCTTGAATTTAACCATGTCTGGAACTAAGCGACTTGGAGCTGAAGCTCTTTGACGTGCCACTGCGATGTATGCAGTAGATTACTCACCACCATCCCCTTGCTGATGGGAAGTGGCACTAAAGTGTTCAAGCCTTGTTTCTCAAAATTGGAATGATGGAATGAACCAATATATCATATGTAACCATTTTATCTACAAAAAAAATCCTATATTACAAACCTGGAATCATCAAGGATGCTACATATATACCCAAATATTAAATTTTTTCAGATATGCTGCACATCACAAAAATTGATTTCGAGGTTCAATATACACAGTACAGAGCTTGATTCAAAAAGCCCACTGAACTGTAGAGTTGACACTGCAGTGCTCCACAATTCAATTCCCTTCCCCTCCCATATATAAATAGATTGGGGTTCCTGCTAATCCAAGTAACAGATACCAAGGATGAAGAGAAGAAGTCAGTCCTGGAACAATAATGCTCATCAAGACATTGATGACACCTACCTCTGCTGCAAAATTAGAAGCAATAGTAACAAGAATGCCTCCATGAGTAAACAAAAATGATGCATCCACTAGTACATCACCACACCGATGTTAAAGTTAAATAATTTAAACTTAATAAAAAGGCAGTATGCTCAATGAAACTTCCCTACAACATCTAAGTAAATGGGCAGTTTATAATTCTAGAAACATCGAAACAGGAGTAAGCCATTCAGTCCCTCAAGCCTGTTCTGCTATTCCATAAGATCATAACTGATCTGTACCTGTTCAATCACCAGCCCTTGCCCCACATCCCTTGAAACCCTGATCTAACAAATATCTATCCACCTCGGGCTTGAAGATGTGGATGGATGCAGCCTTTTGGGGGAGAGAGTTTCAGATTTCCACTATCCTTTGGGTGAAAAACTGCCTCCTAATTTCACTCCTAAATGGCGAGCTCTAATTGTAAGATTATGCCTCTTGTTCTGGATTCCTCCACAAGAGGAAATAGTTTTTCTGTATCTACCCTATCGAATCCCTTTATTATTGTAAAAACCTCAATCAGATCACCTCTCAACCTTCTAAACTCAAGGGAATATAGACCAAGTTTATGCAACCTGTCCTCCAAATTCTAGGGACACTGCAGCTTTGAACAGATATAGTAGGTAATAATAATAATAATAATAATCCTTGCATTTGATATAGTGCTTTTCACGTCGGGAGGACGTCCCAAAGCGCTTCACAGAACACACTGTAAAGTGAATTTACTGTATATTTGTGGGCGAACGCGGCAGCCAATTGCGCACAGCAATGTCCCACAAACAGTCGTAGATTGAAAATGAACCAATTTATTATTGGTTTTGGTTTTTGGAGGGATTATTATTAGGCTTGTGGAGTAAGGAAACTTGCCCAAGGTTTCGCCCTCTGCCTGGAATTGAACTCAGGTCTCTCGCTTGCAAAGCGAGTGCTCTAACCACTGAGCTACAGGACTCCACAAAGGTAAGAAAATAGTGAAGAATCAATAAATGGTGGAATGTGCAGAAAGCTATTCTATTTTATCAACAAACTTATCGTAGTAATGTAGTCTTGAAATTATTTATTGAAAAATGCCTGGCAATCTCACTACTGTTAATTCAGAATATAGCAAACATTATAAAAACAGTATCTTACACATTTCATTGACACGATTCAGAAGCTGCTATTAGCAATATGAATATCATGGTTATTGAGGGGATATAGATAAATGAACATGCGGCATTAATAGGCAGTAGGGGCTTCTAAATATCTGATAGGCAGATGGCTTGAAGCTGATCCTCCAGCTGAAAAGAAGAGGCATATCATTTAAAACCTTGTTTGCATTCTAACAGATAACTGCACAAACAAAGACGAGCAGAGGTCATTCACAAGCCTACTCTGCACGCAGCAACACAGACTGGAAGTGACACTTTGGATGACATTGATTTTTTTCCCTTAAATATCAAAGTCCATACTTCTATCAAGGAACTGCATTAGTAAGTTGGATTTCTGCAGACGGAAAAACAAGCAGAATTATTATAATAAATTGGTCATTTTCAATCTACGACTGTTTGTGGGACATTGCTGTGCGCAATTGGCTGCCGCGTTCGCCCACAAATATACAGTCAATTCACTTTACAGTGTGTTCTGTGAAACGCTTTGGGACATCCTCCCGACGTGAAAAGCGCTATATCAAATGCAAGGATTAAATTAAATTAAATTAATTATCAATAGTCACATATGAATTGGAGTAAAGTTGCTGTATTGGATTTCCAGCTCTATCAGTGAGGGTTGTTTAGAAACGTACACTTTGGGTGGGCTGGTGGAGTGGCACATTGAAACAACCAATGAGCTGGACCACGGAATAAAGGATGGGATTACCAGTGTGTCAAGTTCTTGATGGCACCTTGGCTGCTATTAAACAGGGAAGGAAGGTATCACCTAAGGGCATTTATCAGAAGGCTCCTCTGCATCTCTAAGCCAGCTGCAGTACAGCACTGGCAGAGGCGGTGGAGGGTTCAGAAACCCACCCACTCTTGCCTGGGGAATGTGGGCAGAATTAAAATTGTGGAAATATTATTATGTTCCTAACCTGATGCTCTGTTACCATTGCAACACACATTGGCAACATACATGGTTCTGAATGTGAGGCGACGGCAAAACAATCAGCTTAATCATCGCCTGTTCAGGCTCACAAAGCAAACCCTACACACATGCACACACACGTGATTGAAATTATTCCCATTTTACTTCAGCCATTCTTTGAGAAAACGGTGCTTTCTACACTTTATTCTTCAAATACTCGCAACCACAAAGGGCTTCAGTGAATGAAAAGTGTAATTGAACTGATTGGTGAAGCAGGAAGCACAGTCTGAAAAGGATTCTACATTGGCCCTCATACAAAATCTATAAAACACTGTGGGAGAAGTAAATAATGCAGATACCAGTTAGGTTTCAATTAACCAGTATTTGCAGAGCCTTTAATGGTCACCGTAGCATGTTAAAAAGAAAAAAAATTATTTTAAAGAAATTAAGTGAAAACATTATTGCGTTTAGACTAAAATCTTGAATTTCTGAAAAACGTTCCGAATACAGTCATTAAAGGCTTCATTGTCAGTGTGATATTTATGCCTTCCTCTGTTTGTTAACATGTTTATATCAACAATATGACCATTTACATCCATTAGAGGTTACTTTACATTGGATACTAATACTTGGCAACAGTCCACTTCAATAAATAAATATTTTGTATTGTTATAGTATCTTATAATGTGAAAACATCTCAAAACACTTTGCAGATATTTAGTGTTAAGTGTAGAGAGTTATACGGCTACAACTACAACTAGATCACCCACTATATCAAGTACCAACATTCTGCCTCTAAAGAAGCATGCACACTTAAAAGCTGATTTAAATACGATTTTCTGAACAGTTAAAATTTAACAACACGCAAATAATTATGCACAGGATGTGCCATTGAATGCCAAAACAAATGGAACTGATGATGCCTCTGTCACAATCCATCTGTGATTTTGTCTCGTCTCTTACTTAGTTATTTCATGCAAAACTTTATTACTATACACCCTTTATATATTCAGTTAACATTAGTCAACAGAAGGGCACTGGGTACAGGAAGTGGAAGTCAAAGGGTGAGAAGAATGGACCTTGTCAAGGGGCAGGTTGGAGAAGAAATCGGGGGGGGGGGGGGGGGGAGGGGGGGGAGGGGGGGAGGTGTTGGTTTGTCACTAATGGTATCAGGCAGTATGAGGCACCAATGACTGGGCTACATTGCTGGGTTGGTCAGGTTTGGAACCCTTGGAGTCAAGCTCAAGATGTACAGTGATCAGCTTTGATCAGACTTCACTTGTAGTTCTGGAAAAATTATGCTGGAAAAGGTGGGTGGGAGAGAGAGGGGTTAGTCCCCAAGGGTTAGGCAGAGAAAGATACATCATGGTTCTGGCTCTGGACCACTCCTAAGTATCTCCGACTGGAGATGTGAGAACGTGGACAGCTGGTGAAGCCAGGATCAAGCTCTGTTGCAAAACACTCTGCATTCTGAGACGTTATCCTACACGAAGGGCGCTATATAAAAGTAAGTTGTTGTTTGTTGAATTGCCCACAGACATTCAAAGCTCAGTCATTAATAATGGTCACTAACTGTGGGTAAACAGTACCTATTGCATTCTACATCAGTAGAGGGAGGGGGGTGGGGGGAAATAGTCAA